GTCTGAGCTTACCATACAAAGGAAGAACTATGAAGCAGACAAGAGCTAAAAATCTTCAGTGAGACTCTTAATTGTCTGATGCAATGAGAAAATACATACACCCACTCTAACCTCTAGGGGACCTAACAAAGTTCATAGACTCAATAGGGTTCTAGAACATCTGAGTTGTAGGGGACAGGTCTGTACCTCCTCCAGTTCACATCTGCCTAGCAGAGTCTGCACAGCTCTGCAGTACATGAAGACAATCTTGCTCCGGGGCAGTGGGTGCTGAAGAAAATTGCAAGACAAAAAGCTTAATTCCAGGAAGCACTCACTGATGCTGCTGGCTTGTTTCTCATCCTTAAGAGCAGCCCCACAAGCTGCTTCAAGGTCACTGGCTAAAATAAGTCTATCTACACTGACAAACCCCAAGCAGGGCACAGAAGAGCTGGGACTGGCTATATTAGCTACTCACGTAGTCTTTCTAAGCCAATGTTTCTATACATCTCTGCAGGAACATCCAATAAAGTGTGCATCCTCCATAAATGCATTGCCAGGGATGTTCATTAAGGGCATCTCTCCATGCCTAGCTTTCTTTTTTTTTTTATATTAAGTGGATGCAATCTGAACGAGCATCCAAGAGAAAGTCTGAGCTTACCATACAAAGGAAGAACTATGAAGCAGACAAGAGCTAAAAATCTTCAGTGAGACTCTTAATTGTCTGATGCAATGAGAAAATACATACACCCACTCTAACCTCTAGGGGACCTAACAAAGTTCATAGACTCAATAGGGTTCTAGAACATCTGAGTTGTAGGGGACAGGTCTGTACCTCCTCCAGTTCACATCTGCCTAGCAGAGTCTGCACAGCTCTGCAGTACATGAAGACAATCTTGCTCCGGGGCAGTGGGTGCTGAAGAAAATTGCAAGACAAAAAGCTTAATTCCAGGAAGCACTCACTGATGCTGCTGGCTTGTTTCTCATCCTTAAGAGCAGCCCCACAAGCTGCTTCAAGGTCACTGGCTAAAATAAGTACCAGCCTCAGCAATCAGAGATAATTCTAGTCATTTGTAGAACTGACAACAATCAGGTATGTACACAGACTAATCACACAGCCAGATTTCCCAGGAAGGCAGACACCCTTCAGTCATGAATTAACAGCTTAACTGTCCTGACCACAGTTAAATCATTCCCTCTAATTACCCGCTTACTTCTCAGACATATCCTTAACTCACTCCAGAGAAGAGGAAAACAAAGACAGACCCTAGCTGTTAAATCAGTACCTTCCCATGGAGTATTATTTTGCGTTCTGCTTGTCCATCTTAAGGTTAAGGGAACAATGGATCCACAATACATCCCCACCCATAAAGAACAGCTTTCCCAGGACACCAGAGACACCTACAATATTTAATGTTAGAAGTTACTGGTTAAAAAAAAAATTAACTACAACACAGCAACCACAGCACATGTGGGTCTTCTGAAAGTCACAGCATGGTAGTATGGAAACTGCTAGAATAAGATTAGGGAGCTTTTTGTTTAACATTGCTATTGGAAACAAACAACTGTTGAATTCAACATCATGGGTCAAAGTTAAAATCCTTAACACTTCTCAATTCCAACCCACCCTACTTAAAGTATTGAATGATCACTCAAAGTTCCTTGGATGTGCTCAGCCTGCTGTCTCACCAGTAGGTTTTGCTTCCAGTGTATTTTCTGTCCCAATGCATTTTAACTGGGGGAAAGATACTGTGACCTGCATAGAAGTCAATATTCAGCCTTTGAAATACAGGTGCTGAAAGTCAGACTGATCTTCACAGAAGACCTAACTGAGCAAGAGCAGGCTTGACAATTCTTAAGCTGCAACAGTTTAAGTATTTCCTGAACAAAAAATTTTAGATCTTATTTGTGGCCGTGGTCCACAAACCACTAAGTGGGATGATCAAGAATTGAGACTGCCTCTGCTGTTAGTCTTTAATGTTGATTCCCCTTTATTTCTTTTCCAGGATATGGCTGCCTTCAAGAACTCTGGCTCTGTTTGTTTCAAACACAACATAAGGCTGTGAGCTTTACAGGTCTCAGTTTTGCTGTATAGCATAGGCACTATATCAGTGATAACTTAAAGCTTCCTTTTGGTTTGCTTTCATCTCCCTCCTTATAAGCCTATGTTCTTGTATACTTGATTATTTTTAGCACATCTTTTAAGGACTCTTAAGTGTTTTTGCATCTGCATTTAAGTACTTCTTATTAAAACAGCATTATTTCACCTTCATTACCACAATATGCCCAAATCAAGCATCTCTTATGCCTTGAACTCAAGTATCTGCTGCAGAGGAGACCCCATGTGAGGGGCAGGCCAGAGTTAAGTGTGATGATTCACATAAAATGAGAGAGGCAATAGCACCCAGTTTTCACCTTGGAAGAGTCAATGCTCATTCATACAAGAGCAATAAAGACTTTTCCTTGCTGTAAGACAAGCACAACAAAAGGAAGTGAGAATAGAGCAGGAACATTCAAAACGCCATTATTACCCACAGATCTGAGATGAGACTACTTCCAGATCTGTTTCTTCTGTCTCACAAATTAAGATTTAACCCATCTTGCACAAACTTATTAGCATTCACACTGCAGCATTATGATTCTTCACCTTAACTACTTTACTTTTTTCATTTTCCTTTTTTAGCCTTTGGGCTAAAAGAATATTTAAGCTTGGTAGCTGGTGCTCAGTTGCAAAATAACGACAAAACAAACAAGAAAGCAGACAAAGCACAGTCACCTTCAGATATTATAGTTTAAAAAAAAAATCAGGCAAGTTTGTATACCAGATAATTAAAACTTTAACTAAGTTAAAGACATGCCTCCTACTGTGTTAGATGCACCAAATCTGTTGGCCCAGGAACACAAGACATGACTGTAATCATAGACTGTTCATAAGATCAAAACCCCATTACTATTGTGACATGACTGTACAAATACCCTCAAACTGCTATACCGCTAGGAAAATAGTTCTGCACTTCAGACATCCATTACTGCTTCCAAAATACGCAACACTATAGTAACTGCAGTTCAGTAAGCACTATTATGTACAAGTATAGCAAGTCTTATTAACATGGGGTTTCAAGACACCTTATTTACAGCCTGAAACACCATAAACAAGCTGGTACTCATAAGCCTGGTAGACTTAGCAAGACTTGCTCAGTACACTCACTATTTCCTTGTGAAACAAGGAACCAAGAAATTCACAACTCCCCATTGTAACCAGGCATCTCTGGCTCTGACCTTTGCACTAAGCCACCTACTTTAAAGGAGTTGGCTGCAAGCATGAGAAGTTCATAGCCCACCTTTAAGACATTCATCCACAAGCCATGAAATTCAATGCATAGAGACAATTCATGGATCTAGGCCCCCGCCATAAAGTAGATGCCACAGATACGAGCATGGGATAGCTGTTCACATCCATCATTATCAGTAAATGCCAAGACAGATTCATTTACTTGACTAGGAAGTGTTTGAAGCAAGAGCCCAAGAACTGCATAGGCTAAACTGAAACTGAATACTCCCCTCCCTTAAGGGATATTTACTTTGAGAAGTGGATCAGTCATTAACACTAACTCCATTTTGGAGGAAATTTGGAGCATTTGCATTACTAGGAGGATTCACCAGCCTGGACAGGGAGGAGGCAGGGGAAAGAAGGTCTTACACATCAAAAGAAGTGAAACCCCCAAAGCTCAGAAGTGCCTTGTGACACACACACTGATATAATCAGGTTTTAAAATTAATTTAAAGAGGCTTGTTAGCTGGTACTTAGTATGTCTGCTGAATTGCATGTTAATGTCAAGTGTTAAGCATATTCTTGCTTGGAAACACATAATGCCCTGTACAGATTACTCTCCTAGGAAGCAGTAAGCATCAAAGGTTTTAAAAATCTTGCAGTAAGAGAATGCCTCAGACTTACCTTCCCATTTAGATGAGCTGGATATAGTTGTCTACATGTTGACCAACTGATTTTAACTACTTTGGACAAGGCTTGCATTTAAGAGTACTCAAGGTAGGGCTTTGGGTTTTGTTTGTTGTTTTTTTTTTTAAAAAACACTACCTAATGACCAACTGAGGGGCACAAGACAGTGTAACAACTGAGGTTACGACAGTCTTGTCCCATCACCCCCCTTCTTCCTGCTTGGGTTTCTCTAGAGACTGCAGAGCACACATGTTCTGCAGTGCTCTAGCGGAAGAAGCCATCTCAGACAGCTATGCCATAAGACTACTCAATACCACAAGTATGACAGCAGCCATCTAGCTCAACTCCACTGTTCCAGTACCTCATAGCTTTTAGCATTGCTCTCCACTGCAGTCTATCCACCAGCGTTTGAAGTGTTCCTAAGGGTCTGCCAGCCACAACCTCCTCTTCCTCTAGTTCCCTGCAGAGGAATTCCCCTTATTCACTTCCATAAAGGGAAGTTTGACTTTAACCTCAGCACTGGTTGTCTTCTCCACACAAGTTCACAGTTCATAGACCACTCACATCTGGATGTTTTTGCTGTGATATGGTAAACAAGTTGCAGAAAATAAGATCATGTGGTCACAAACAGAACCTGTCTCACATAAGAGGAAGAAATGGCTAAAATACTGCAGCAAATCACCTGTGTCTATGAAAGTCAGGTTGCATTGATTCAAGTCACACTTGATCCACTCCAGCCAGCTTAAAAACCCTGCTCACAATTATTTTCTAAAAAAAAAAAAAATCTACACAACCCCTTATACTCACTGTTACTGCAGATATTAACTGGAGTCAGAAGATTCACAGAGGAACAGTGTAATAAGACATTTATTAAAAGTGCTGTCAGTTATATTAAGAGCTGTAGTCTAATATCCTTTTTTAAAAAGGCATCTAATTAAAAAGTACTAGCTAAAAAAACATTTTGATCACTATGGTTACAGACACATGACCTGCAGTGCTCTATGAAATGTTAGACCAGCTTTGCTGACTGGGACAAAGTAATCTTCAAATCCAGGGTCCACAGTCTCTATTGCAGAGGAAGAACTGCTGGGGGCTCCAGAAGAGACACCTGCAGGTACCTGGAATAGAAATGCAGTCACTAAGATATTAGTTTTGCTGACAAATTTAAAGATATCATCTTCTTGTGCAATACACTGGAGAAAAGAATCATCCTGCAACATTGCAAGAGAATTGTCATCTAGTACATCTGTATACCTATGGATGAACCACTTTTCTGGTCAGAAGAGTTTTCCCCTCAAGAGGCTGACAGAGGCCTCCCTTTCTGGACTAGAAGCTGACCACTATGAGAATTTTGTCAGCTACAGCAGCTGTAGCCCAAGCTGCCAAACCAGAGTCATCCTATGCTTATAGCCCCCAAGTTACAGAATACTGGCTTCCTGCTTACTTACTTAGAGTGCTTATACTTCTCCTTAATTGCTCGCAGCTGGCAATGGGGAGCATCAAGGCATGCTTTATGCAGATCTGTCAGGCAAGGCACTATCTCACTTAATGAATACCCAGTGAATGCAGCAAGTGTTTCTGGCTGGTCAGGGAAGAAAAAAAGTGTTACTCTATTGTAGGCAACATTCTTCTGGAAGATAACCTTTTTTACAAAAGCAGAAGCCATTTTCACTACACCAGTGCTCACTCCAGATTCTTTAGGCTTGAAAAGGATTCAAATGTATCCTGCCATCAGTTTCACTCTACGTCTTCCTTGGTGTCAGGAGATCCAACAAGAAGCTCCTTCTACTCTATGTAGCATCCATTACATGTCTTCTGGATCCTGCTCTCTGCTAAAGCCATTCTTCCAACACACAGCTGAGAGGCCTATCAGGGCTTACATTAAAGCAGCCACTCAGTGTAATCACACCACTGAAGTAGACACATTCAACCCTTCCCACCTCCCAGAAAGGCCCTCAACTGTATTTGGGGGAAGAGTTTTGGAGATTGAAGACTGACAAAGCCTTAGGTACAAACTGGATGTAAGCGAGCAAGACAGCAAGGTCCCTCCCATTTCAGAGAAGAGGCAGGATATTTCAGGTTGATTTAACATTCACTTATCTGGTAGCCCCAATAGCTCAGGAACAGCTACTCATCCTAGGATTTCAGCCTTTATAACACCACACATTGAGGCTACTCCTTCTGCTTCCTAGCATAGTTCTAACGATAACATGAAACGATTGAGCTACTCATTAACATGCAGCTGTTGCTCTTACCCAGAAAGAGCTGTTCACTGTATAGTTTGCTAGACAGTAGGCTGCTGCAGCTGTTTGTGAAGGAAGGTACTTCAGAAAAGGATCCGCTTCAAGGAGACTCAGCTCTGCAAGGTACTGAACAAAAAACCACAAGGTTTTCAAACAGGATGAGCCTAGCTGGTACAATCAGTCCAATACAGCAAGCACTGAAAACTGTCAATGGTCCGTCTCAGTTTCATGTAAAACACACGAGTTACATAGCGGGGGGCAGAAATAGTAGAAATAGCATTCTAGTCCTGTTGGTCTTACAGAAGAACCTTTATCATGTTTCAGTGAGGATGGAAACACCACACTTTGTCAAAGCCTAAACAATCTACTCTAACCTGACGTTCTGGTCCCATCATCAGCTCTGATGTAATTTTACTAATAAAAACTTAGAAAATGAATGTTTTGCAAAAATAGCAAAGACTCACTTTTCCCATCCTCAGAGGCTCTTGTTCACATAGGTGGACCTCACTTGGAGATGAGGGATAAATGGACAGCTTTAAGAAACAGGATTTGGGATCTGTTGGAGTAGAGTCACTATACAATCCTATACCCTTTGCAGGTAAGCAGCAGGTCAGATATTTTGCTATAAGCTTGGGTTAACCTGTCTCTAAGCAGGGTTGCCTATGCGGTTACGCAGGCACATGCTGTGTCATTGTGTAGCAACATGTAGTACCACCACAAAACAGGGCAGACTTGCTGTGCAGGCACTGTTGAAAAAACAACCAGATTCCTACCACCCAGCTGCCTAGTCAGTGCATTATCCCTGACCAGACAGACCGACCAAACTCAGGGTTTCCATGAGACATTTTTCCAGAAGTCTCAGCACACAAGCTGCCTACAGAAGGTAGTAGACTACAAAACATCCAGTTTTAGGCCTGCTGCAGTCCCAGATAAGACTTTGTGTGAGAAAAAGAGTACCTCCTGATAGAGCATAGTATAGTAGCAGAACCCATCTGCTCAGATAACTTGGTGAAATACAAGTGGTCCTGCTTTTAGGCTCACTTCTGCCCCCCTCAGTCCTAGAGGGAGGATAATTCATACCCTTGCAAAGTTCTCTGTCCTCATACAGACTCCGTGCCTCTGAATATACTGAAGGAGGAACTGGTTGATGGTTGGGGCTGTTAGGTCAAAAGCCAACACTTTGAGAAGCAGGTGTTCCATTCTTAGCAGCTGCCTCTTCGTGTAGGTATCATCCGTTATATACACAAATTCATCCACTTCTGGTGGGTAGATCTCTTCATATTTCCTGAAAAAGGAATACAGAAGCCACATTTGTCAGCTTGAAACTTATACTAAAAGAAAGCTTTCTGCTGGACCTACATCAGGATGAGCACATGACATTACTAAGGTTCATGCAGAGCTCTTATTTTAGTCTTTCCTCCAGGCTAGGTAACAATTTCATTTCGAATTTGGGCAAAGATGTTTAGAGGAACTCCAAGTCATCAGCCTAGATAGAAACACGCATCATTAGCTCTTGACTAACAGCAAGCTCTCAGAGCAAAAGTTTCAGTAACACAACACACTCCAGACAAAGCCCCCTGCATTCCTAGGTTACACTGGGTACCCTGTCTACTTAAAGTAATTCAAGGCTAATTGCAGATTGCAGCTGTGAATCTCCTACAGCCTTATAGGCTAGCAGCTTAACACATTAGTGGGCTTGCTCCTGCCATTATGGTTACAAGGTTTTCCTACTATAGTTCCTCACATCACAAACGCTAAATGTTTAATTTTGCTAGTGCCAAAGTAGGTGAAGTCGCTAATCTTGAGATATCATGAAAAGCTACCTACCACTGCAAGCTTCAGTACTTCAGATTAAACTGAAGGACTCAGTCCAAAAAATAGCTTGCTGAGATTTCAGCAGATGATGAACACTTACGCAGCCAGAAGAATTGCTGCTGTTCCTACAAGCTGCAGCTTCCCTCTGAGAACAGACATGCAGGAAAGAAACCTGTCCAGGAAGTTCACCGCCAAGTACAAAGTCTCTGTCCGAAGTCTATATTCTTCCCCTACTTCCACCAGCCAGTCTACCAAGATGGCACGCATTCCGGTTGTAATATCTGGTTGCTTCCTCATGTAGTAGGGCTTGGGCCTGAATCTTACCTGCTTGGAGAGAGAGTTGAAGAATCAGGAGGCTGACCCTGAAGAGAGCCACCAATGGCCAAGGTGATTAACATTCTTTATATTTACACCAAAAGGAGCGCGAGTTGTTCCACTATTAATAGCTCATTACTACTAACTATAATTATAGTGGTAGTAGGATTAATTAGCAGCATCTCTAAAAAGTAGTATTTCTATACTGAAGAGAAAGGAGCTACTGTGTTAGTAGCAGAATAGTAAAAGACCTCCTGCACTATGGACAGCCTTTGCTATCAAGCACATATGAGCCATTCAGAGGGACCCAAAAATGGAAAAAAATCACATTTTTTCCCCCCTCTTCCTACTGGAGACTGCACTTTATTGTTCTGATACAGAGAGGTAAGAAAAATTACTACTCTAGCAAGAGTTAGTGAGATCACATCCAACTGCTTTAGTGTTTTTGCAGCATTTAGCTCCCATCTGCAAGAATTCTTCATCCCAAACAGTCAAGAGATGCTCCAACGGTAGGTAATTTCAGGGACGCAGAGTAAACCTGAAAGATCTCATCACTGTCTAGATGCTGCCCTCAGAGACAGCTTTTTACTGCTTGCTTCCTCTCCGTTGTAGTTCAGTGGCACCCCTGGGTATCCTGGGGCAGCCATACATCTTTGCAGTATTGCAGCCCATCACAGAGGCCACAAATATCTAAAAGCTCCTTACAAGCCACTCACTTCAGCCTCTCGGAGGTACTGATGAATGTCTTCTGCATACTCTCCCACAGTCAGAGTTATGGCATCTTCCATGTGATCCTCAGGCTGGGACTGGAAGGATGTATCCACTACCATAGGAGATCCTAACAGGCAGGAGGAACCAGCAAGACATTTTTGTAATTAGCCTCTTCACCTTCTCCTGCTATTTCTCATGTCCCTCATGTAGACACAACCCAAGTTGTCTTAAAGTGCTATTTATTGCAACGTAAGCTACTCACTAGCTTACCACCATCGCGATTCATAACCACCCTACACGTACTTGTGCTGTACATACCACCTTAGTAGTAACAGGAGTTACCTGTACTCAGATCCAACAGTAGGTGAATATTGGATGTCATGGCACTAGTATCCAGTTCACACAGGCTTGATTCCAGCTCTTCCGCCACTTGGCAGCTGTAGTTTTCTTTCTCTTCTTGTTCATCTATGTAGATAGCAAACCCTTGCTTGGATGCAGCATTGACCACACAGTTGGGTAATTCATCTTTTCCAGATGAAGGGACGGTGTTTTCAGAGCCAGAGAAGCATCTGATGACAGCAGCACCCTAAGACAGAGCACAGAGTAATGCTGTGGGAGGGCAACTCAGGAAGAAAACAACAGTGAGTACCACTTGCTTGAGAAAAGAAGCAGTCACCTTCCTTGCCTAACAGACACCAATAATGTAAAAGTCCACTGGAAAAGCCACCAGCTGCAGCTGGTGCTTCCAACATCCTGCTTGTTGCAAGCTTGCTGCAACACTCCCCACAGGAAGAGTGTAGTCAAAGCCTGGAACCAGAGGATTAGCCTCATCTCCTGTGCCCACCACCAAGAAGATCGAGGTGAGGGTGCGCTCAGTTCTGACAGGTCTGGCAAGTGCCAGGTCTGCTCCACATTCAGTTCTGGCAAAGTGCAGCGAGTTAAAGTACCAGAAGGCAGTACACAGGCACGATCACAGACTTATGAAGGACTTCACCTGCAAGAAGGCATTTTATGCTGCGTTACAAACCCAAGTTTGAACTTTTGAGCTCAAGCATCCCAACCCCTAGGACTATAACACATCACCAGGATAGAATTCTTCACGTCATCCACCATCAGGGAGCCACCAGCTGAGTTAGGGGCTTTACACGTTCACAACTGAGAAGAGTTTGCTGCTCTTTTAGGTCCTGTAAGCCAGCACAATAACGTTTTCCCTGCCACACAGGCAGACTCCAGGAGGGCCCAAGGAACAGAAATGCAGACAGACACCCTGCAGTGAACTTCAGCTTCCTGAAGGCAGCACGGCCAGCCCCGCGGCAATGGGACTTTTGGGTAAGCATCAGTGAACACTTACTCCTAAGCCACTCCCTACACTTCTAGAGGGCAAGCGCCCAAACAAGGTCTGACCGAGCCTCCCTTCCTGCCGGGGGGGATTATTCAAAGCATTTCCACGGGATAGCGTCTGTAGGTTAGGACTGAGCGGTTACTAGCAGGGGGTCTCGGGAAACTCACGCTCATTAACCGCAGCCCGACTCAACTGCTGG